CAGAGAATGGGGGCATGTGTGAGAGGCCAGCCCTCACCCGGCGGGCTTGGTGGCACAGGCATCAGACCAGCACAGATCCTGGAAGACCGTGGGGGTGTACAGGGAGACAGAGACAGATTTGCAAGCACAAGAGAGAGCTGGGAAGAGAGCCAGTCCCAGGGCGGAGGCTCAGCAGAAGGGCGGGCTGGGGTGACCGCCAGGAAGCAACAAAGCAGCAACACAAACAGGAAGCAGGACCGCTGGTGGCAGGATGGGGCCCTGCCAGAGCCGGGAAGAGCTGGGGGCGGCGGGGGCGGGGGTGGCGGGGTGGGTGGGGGGACCGCATCCCATGCTGGGAAGGGAGGTCTCTCTGCAGGGGGTTCCAAGTGAAAATGACATCGCTATGGAGCACCCCATCATGCTCCCTCTTTCATTTTTTCTTAAAAACACAACAGAAAAAAACACCAACTTCTGCCTACTCTGTAGCCCCCAACCTCTGTTGGGAAAGGGTTTTTCTACCTCCCTCTTCTCCATGTAAACATCCACCTTGTAATTAGTGAACCGGCATCTCCTCCCCGGCCTGCCCGTACCCGCTGCTGATTCCAGAGGCTGGGAACCCGCGCTGCCCTCTCTCCGAGGGGAACAGGGGTAGGCACACCTGGCCGGGGCGTGACTCGGAGGAGCACAGGATCTGCATCTGCAACAGTCTGAGTAGATTGCACACGGATTCATGGGACCGTGCCCCCGCAGCCCAAACTCCTTCCTTCCCTCCAGAACTTCCTCTCCGACCTCCTGTCAGTCTCAAAATGGATAGAACAGCCCGAAGCCATTGAACAGAGTTATGTCTGCAATCACCTCTCTAATTCGTGCATCTAGGTGCCCATACATCAAGCAAGGGGGCCACGCGCGGCTTTATTCAGCGCGATGACAAACAGACGCTTGAATACCAAGGAGCTCATGAGCTTTGCAGCCACAGGAAAAAAGAAATAAAAATAAAAATAGAGAAAGCCCCCACATGGATGCCTGCCTCACGCTCTGTGGCCCAGCCGGGTGCACGAGGAGACGGCTCACAGGAGGTTATTCAGCAGTTCCCAGCATAAACCCCAAGGTAACAAGTACGGACGGAGCAGATGTCGGGAGACGGAGCGCTATTTTGGAAAACTGCCGAGAGATTTAGAAACAGGGCTTTCTTCTGAACCGAAGCCTAATGCCGAAAGGCCTTTAAAATACAACTTCCCAGATGCCACCTGCGTCGGATGAATGCCAGTGCGGGCCACCGATACTGGAAGTGCTTGGACTGATTGTTCCGGCACAAACAAACCCATTTCTGTATTCCTGCAGCTGCACCCCGGCCAGGTGAGGAGCCGGACCGAGTCACAGTTGCCTCTCGCTGTCTCATTCCCGGCAGATTTTGGCATTTAACTGTAATTAAGATTTATTGTTCACTGGCTCCGCAGGTCAGGGCAAGCATGACAATATGGGCGACTTTTCTGTTTGCTGGTAACACGTCTGGTAGGAGGAAGCCTCGAAGCTTTCAAGCAGAGCTCGACAGACATGAATAGATCATCCTCATTGCAGGACCCGTGCGTTCCCATTCTAATCAGAGGCCAGGGGTCTCGTGAAGGGCGGGCAGGGAGAAACCAGAAAGACCCAGTGAACTGTGCTGTTGCTGTTGCATCTGAAGGGTACGGGCTGGAAGCCAAATCCGTTATTGCCCATCTTCTGGGTTTGGGGACGGGATTGTCTGCTTGGTGTGGGAGGCAACCTGAGACCTTGGTGCTGACAGAGGTTCTGCAGAGACGGGGACCTGTGGGTCTTCGTGGCCCCCCCCTTGCAAATCGGAGGAGAATCATCCTTCATCTCTCTCCCCGCTCAAGGATGCCCTTGGACCGAGTCAGGTGGCCGGGGAAGGAGGGAGGCGGGGCTCCGCCGTCAGCGGCCACTCACCTGCTTTTACAGGCTGTCTGCCCAGGTCCCGCGCAGGTGACCCCCGACACAGTGGGTGTGAAGGAACAAACGGTCCGCGAGCAGACAGATGAAAAGGGCGGCTCGTCCCCGCTGCTTTATTAGAAGGCAGAAATGCGGAAGCGTAATGTCCTTCAATTTCCTGGCATCTATAATTTATTATATATTATTGTTTGCCCTCCGTGGGGTGTTTCTGTCAGTGCCTGGATAAAATAGGAAAGCATTACTCACACGGCCCAGAGATGTGGACTCTGAGCTTGTCTGTCTCTCTCGTTCCCTTACAGAGGAGGGGAAAGGAAAAAAGAATGACCCCTTGGCTCTGCTGTTGTCGACCAGAGAATGCAATTTTATGGAATACTATGAGCAGATCTTTGTATCTCACCCTCAACTGGATAGCATTCAGATGGTGGCTTACAAAAACCCAGGCCACACTCAGGAAAACTTGGAGGACAAGCGAGTGGGGAAGCCGTGCGATGCGGGGCACGCTCCTGTTTCGTGCTGTTGTTATTTGAGCTACTAGTTCAGGGGGCTTGGGGGTGGGGAGGGGGGCTTCTGTCCTGCCCTCACCCAGTACTTCCCTGGTTGCCTGAAATTGAGAACATTTGTTTTTCTCTATCCCCGAGAAGCATTTCGGAGACTCTAGGACGCATAAGGGGGCTTTTGTTTTGACGTTCAGAGAAGGCTATAAAAGCAAGCGTCTCTCCCAAAGGCATAAGGAGGGAAATGGGTGTGAAATTAATTTTAATGGTGGATAGAAACAAAATCTGAAAGAAAGGTTTAAAAGAAAGCTTCCCACCTATTTGACCAACGAAAGGTGTTTTATAGTCCTAGGGACCAGATTTTGAATTTTTTGGCATCCGGTTCAACTAAAGTGATGCTGAGCCGAGGAAGAGGAAAATATAACCGTGGGAGGGTTGCTTCTATTAATTGGATTCCGTTGTCCGGGGTGTTTTTACCCACTGACAGGAAAGCCAGTGCTCCGTTCCTCGAAACTCACTACTGCCAGGTTATGTCAACATATAAATCCCAAGGACACTTGAGACAGGCTCAGACAGGTTCAAGTACGTCTCGCAGGGAGCACACTTGACCCTACATGGGAGCCTAGTTTACGGAGCCTGGGAACTTTGATCCTTGGCGATGCCCTGCAAGGTAATAATCTCAGGAGAGCCGAAAACAGTCACTCCCAGCTCCCCGCCCTGCTGATCCAAGCGAAACACATGTATAAGCTCCAGCCTCAGCCCCATGGGCGCAGCGGGGCGCAGGAAAGGACGCTGCAGCCATGAGTGGACAGGACGTCACTGAGCCCCCTGCTGTCTGGTGCAGACAATGGAGGGAGGAGAGGGAGCCGCGGTGGCTCCGAACAGGTGGGAGCTGGAGGACAAGCACTTGCCCAGCGGGGGAGGGCTCTGTGCAGGCAGCGGATCGCAGGAGCCGGTGAATGATCACAGGAGACAGCTCCTACGAGCTGGGATGCGGCAGGATTCCAGGCCCAGGGACGCCTGCCCGGGAACCAAGGCAATCTGGAAGGCGACAGTGGGGTGGGTCGCTGAAGGGGCAGTGGGAAAAAGGCCAAGGGAAGGGCAGGAGGGCCCGGCTGCAGATCGGCAGGGCTACTTGGAGTTCCAGGGCGCTTAGGATTCTTGTCCGCTCGAACACAGTCATTTGTTCTCCAGCTCTGCTAAAACCGTAATTCCTTTGTCACAGTCCTTGGCATTTCAGCTTTGTTTTTTTAAGAGTAATATTGCACCCATATCAGTCACCATATTTGTAATGGAATGTTAAAACGTGAGAGATGACTCATCAAACACTGCCTATAATAAGGACGAGTGGATCAAAACACAGGGGAGAAACCCATTGTTTGAAAACTTTATTTAAAAAAAATATTTTTTATTGATTTCAGAGAGGAAGGGAGAGAAAGAGAGAGAGAGAAACATCAATGATGAGAGGGAATCATTGATTGGCTGCCTCTTTCACATCCCCTACTGGGGATTGAGCCCAAAACCCAGGCATGTGCTCTTGACCGGAATCGAACCCGGGATTCTGCAGTCCACAGGCTGATGCTCTATCCACTGAGCCAAACCGGCTAGGGCTGTTTGAAAATTTTAAAAGTGTTTCTTTTAAAATGTGTTTTTTTTAAATTATTTTTTACTTTTCAATTATAGTTGGCATTCCACATTAGTTTCAGGGGTATAGCATAGTGATTAGACATTTATATAACGTATGAAGTGATCTCTCTGATAAATCTAGTACCCACCTGCCCCAAATGTAATTTTTAAATTGGAGAAGAGGGGACCATGGAATAATGATTATTTCCTGAGACAGTAAGAACTGTGAATTTCCTTTCACCAGGAGGAGTGTACCTTTAAGGAATACACAGAGATGTCAGAGGTTTCAGGTGCTTTGAATAGATAGTGCTGAACTATTCTGTAAAATCGCTGCGGGAATACTTATGTCTACCAGTGGTTTCTGAGAGACTGGCTATTTCCCACAACCCCCTCCCCAGAATGGGAGTGATCAGCACTTATATATCATAGGCCAAGAACTGATATTTTGTTTTATGTTGACCTTCTCTGATTGGAAGGATGAGTACTTATATCAATCTAAACCCTCATCTAAATGGATATCTACCTATACCTATACCTATACCTAGTCTATTGTGACCACTTGAATCTCTTCTGTGAATTGCCTGTTCAAATGCTTTGCCCATTTTTCTACTTGACTCTCTGTTATTTATTATTTTGCAGTTCTTTGTATCGGAGGCATATACCATTAGTACAAAAGAGTAGCATTCAGCAGCATTAATTTCCTTAGTTTCCCAATGTAAAAGTCTAAAAAGCCATTTGATATTTTTGTTTACATTTATTTGCTTATCAATGAGGTCGGATATTTTTTTTTCATAGGTTTGCTGGAAACTCATGTTTCTTCTGCAAATAGCCGTTGCCCATCGTTTAGGGAGGTGCTGATGGTGGTTTTCTTACTAACTGTAAGAGGTCTTTACAGGCTATGAACCAGGGTCTGTTATCTGTGATGAATAATGTGTCATGCTTGGTTTGCAGGGGGACTTCTGGCTCTTTGGACAGGATTTGGAGAAGGTATGTGTTTCAGCTTTGGCTTGTATTCTCCTCAGATTTGGAAGTCACCATCCTGAAGATTCACTTCCTTTGGAAAAACATCCAGCCTGGTCTACACAAGAAATGACATCTCTTCTTGTAATATGGCTTGGACCACGCACCATAGTAACCCTGGCCTTATTGTGCGCCAGGTGCATTTGCTTGACTTTGTTACTATTGAGCTAATGAACTAAAATGCCTCTGCTTTCTCCCCTGTCCACAGGGGCTGGGGCCTACGGTGGGGGTGGGCAGGGAACAGGGATCTGAAAGCAGACGGCAGAATGACCAAGCTGTAGGAAAGGCAGGGAGGAGACTTGAACGTGGCCTCAGTGCTCCCTATGTCTCCGCTCCTCGCTGTCTCCTGCCTTCATCTAATGCCCTCCCTTGGTAGGTAGGCTGGCCTTCGTCACGTGGCAGAAAATGTCTTGCACCGTCAGCCCTGGAGAGAGGCAGCCTCAGTTCTCCTTTAATGCCATTCGGCAGCTGGCGCTCTCTTGAGGGCCCAGTTTGGGTCAGAGGTAGGGTTGTCAGGTAAAACACAGGATGCCCCGATACATTAGAATTTTCAGAGAAACAACTCATCATTCTTAGTTGTAAGGGTCTCCCCAAACTTTCATGAGGTAGACAAAAAAGTTATTAGTTGGTTATCTGAAAAGCAAATGGAACTGGGCATCTTGTATGTTTATCTGCCAAGTTTGGCAACCCTAACCAGGAGCTTGCTTCTAGACCAGGTAGCCTAGAACCAGGGCGCTGGGGGTCAGCCTCCCATCAGTTACCTGCAGCCAGGGGGCCTGATCATGTCCCCACGGCTGCCCACTTGCTGATGGTGGGGGTGGGGTAGTTACTATGCCCAGCAGACAGCCCCCTGGGTGTGCCCATACCTGCCAGACTCAGACTAGCGTTCCTCAGCCTGGATGGACTCTCTGCAGCTCCTTCCCGTGGCTCCGGCTGCCGCGTCATAGGCGGACTCTCAGCTCAAAGCTCTGTATTTGCTGAGTCTGTCGTTGGCTCTCCGATTCTGGTCCCTGTGCCGTGTGCACTACAAGCTCCATGAGGAACAGAGCCTGGCTGGGGCTTCTCCGAGGCATCGTGACATTTCATCAGGGCCTGGCTCATGTCAGGTGCCAGTACACACCTGGGTGGGAGGAATGCAGCCCAAGGTTCTCCTGTCTGTCCCATGGTTCCCCGTCCACACCTGTCAGGCAGACAGCAATCTTACAGGAGTTCCAGCGCTCTCCTTGCTGGCTGCACCTCAGCACTTGCGACACACTCGCGACACACTCACCCGAGGACACGTGTGCTCATCTTGTCTACTTCACAGCTCTAGACTGCGCAAACCCACGCTCGCCTCTGGCGCCTTCCACCCCGCCTGCCCATCACCACCCAGCCTCCCCTGCAGGCGGGCTCCGCTCTGGGTGTGGGCACCCGTGTGTAGGGTGACCGTACCAGCAAGGGGAGAGCAGGTTGGGGCACAAGCATGGAGCAGGACCCCATGTCAGGACCACAGGAAATCCGAATGAGCTCATCGAGGGAAGCTTGACCAAGACCCCCTGGATGGCTTGTTCACCGATGGCTCCAGAGGGCAAAGCCGTCCGGTCTCCCACCCCTGCACCCTCTCCTCCCCACCCTGCTTGCCCTTGCTCACTCCCTTTCCTCCCATTTCAAAAGCATTAACCATCTGCTGGACACTGAAATTCTTAGACAATCATTTGAACTACCCTGCAGTATAGCAGTTTGTCCTTTGAAAATGGAAACATGAGGAATCGAGAAACATCAAGAAAACCCAGCCTAAGAGCCTGCACCTGTGGGCACCGGTTGTCCAGTCATGGAGCCTCTGTGGATGGGATGTCAGACCCAAGGGCCTGCACTTGGCGGTGTGGGGAGGCAGGTAGTCGGGGTAGGTGTGCTGTGCAGGACTTGGTCCGCGACCAGACTGAGGGGGGGCCCTGCCCGTCCTCTTCCTCCGGAGCCAGCCCCACCCGCCCTGGCGTTCCACCGGCACCTGTCTTCCTTCCGCGCCTTTGTTTTCATTCATTCCACTGCAGGTCAGCTGCCTCCTCCCCACATCCAGGGAGGCATTATTACTTTGCAAACAAAACATGTCCTGCTTGCCTGGCAAGATGGGTTGTCTGGAGAGATTTCCTGCAGACTGCTGTGCTCACATCGCGGCTCAGGATTCTTGTAAACGGCAGTCACAGAGGGTGGCACTTCCTGCCGGAGAGGAGCCGTGTCCTCTCCATGACCTCGGCCTTATTATCCCTTGTGGTCCATCCTGCAGTCCCTCTCTCCTTCCCGCCGCCGAGGGCCTTGTCCTGCCGACCTGAGGACAGGCCAGGCAGGGAGGAAACCGCGTCCCTTGGTGGTGGCAGGGGACAGACAGATGCTGCAAGATGGGGGCGTGCTCCTGTCTTAGTCCTCACTGGCAACCTGACCCACTCACACGCTGGCCCTCCCCCAGGACCACGAAGGCCAAGGCTTGCAACGTTCCTGGGCTCCAGTGAGATCAATGATGTCAGCAAGTCAAAGGTGGAGAGAGTGGGAAAAAGGAGACCTTCTAGAAAGGAGAGCTCCTTTCTAGAACCTTCCTGGATTGACGCGATTCTAATCCCTCAGCGGCAGCTGAAAATGTGTTTCCGGGGCTCCACTTCAGACCATGTCAGCCACAGACTCTTCTACCTCCAAACTACATTTGCCTCTGGCCCCGGAGTCTCTGTGTCTTCTCTCTCTCTCCCCCTCTCTCTTTCTCTCCCTCTCCCTCAATTCTCTGCCCTTTTAAAAAGGGGAAGCCGATTGGGAGGCAAACCTAAACCCTGATTTTTGAGTAGGGAGCAGCCTTTCACATGAAAAAATAAAAGCACATACATTAATAGCTTAGAAAACAATGGTAATATTTAATTAACCTTTGGAAATGGCTGATCTGCAAATCTGCACGTGTCAGCTCATCTTCAGAACAGAGGGACTGTGTGTGCCGATGCCAAAATCAACATGCCAGGTCCGTGCACTGCTTCCATGGGGATTTCATGGCGGGGGTGGGGGGTGGGGGAGTAAGACCCCCCCACACACATCAGTTGTTTTACTTTAAAAATTCATGTGATCCAGCCGCCCCCGTCAGGGCTGGCCGTAGCCTGTTGTGCTACACATCTGAGGACCCCATGTTGCAGCTTGGCTCCTCTCCCTGTCATTGTAGCAGACAGGCCGCAGGCCTCCTGGGGGAGCGAGGTCACTTCTGATGACAGCAAAAATCAGCTCGATGCACTTGGAGCTCTCCCAACACAGTGCATGTCCACAGGACAAAGGGAATTAGACTCATCTGCAAGTGTCAACTCTCTGGCTTTTTAGGGATTTCTTTTTTCCTTTTAAAGGTGGTATACTCTCAGTTGGAGAAGGCTTGTCATCCAGGGAGCACCGAGGTTGGCTCATTAAAACGTCACCTGGTTAAATACAGTAAATCAATGTTGATGACATTGTTTCAGGTATTCCCCCTCGCGGAGCTGGCGTGTCATGCTGATCAACTTTTACTCCCATCTCGGCGAAATGGAAACCCCTCCTTTCTGCCCTGCACCCTGTACCTGCTTTAATGAGGGTGTCTCGCCATGTAATCAGAAGCCTGAGTTGATGGGTGGTGACTACCACCTTTCACTTCCTTTTATCAACAGTGAGAGCAGAAAGAACCAGGGACAGTCCTGTTTTGCTCTTTGGGACTTCCAGAACTCAGGAGCGTGGGATTCGGGCAGTCCCAAAGAGAATGAACATGGAGCGGTTGATTTGTACTTTAAACGGTACAGACACACCCATCAAGCAATAAGATGCGGTTTGAGATGTTAAAAGAACGGCTGTCACTTGTAAAAAGGCTATTGCTATTGCCTTTATTTGTTTTGAAGCATCAGAGAAAAAAAAGTTTGTAGCTTTTAAGAAATGTGGCAAATCTGCCGAGCTTTGGGTAGGAGAGATCCAGGCATAGGGAGACTGGGTCAAGGTGGGAAGATACACACCTGGTCAAATGAAGCAACTGTCTGCTTGCTAAGCTCTCCTTTTTCCCTATTGGAAGAACACGGAACAGTTGGGTACATAAAGGTCATGTCCCTGTCATTCTAGCAGGTTCAAGAGATGTAGGGATCCAGGAAGGAGGCCAGCGTGCATGAGATCTGCCCAGGGATGACCAGGAGTGCCTTTCTAGAAGAAAACAGAGCTCGTCAGTGAGGGCCACATCTCCAAGGAGCAAGCCTGACCATCAGTGACGCAACTCGCACATCAAGGACAAGAACATCCGTGACCGCAGTGACCCATAAGTGATCCAATGATCAGATCTACCAGTGACGATTGCTGGGCTGAGAGCCTAGGTCCTTTAGTCCCTCAAGGCAGGGAAGGCAATAGGAAGTAAGTACCGGGAGATAGAAAGAAAAGTCATGGTTTGGTCCTTAGCCTACACCTCGAGAGCACATACTACACTCCAAGCTTATTCTCAATGCTTTACATGCCTTATCATATGTCATCCACACAACAAACCAATGAGGTATTTACTGTTGTTAGCCCCACTTTACAGATGAGGAATTGGAGGCACAGAGAGGTTAAGTAACTTGTCCCAGGTCACACAGGATATACTGATTCTGAGTTGAAAGAGGAAGGTGTGAGTTAGAGCCAATAGTTTGTATTATTTTAATGGATTTTCTGATGTATCTTGTCTATATTGTGTTTAGTAATTGGCCTCAGCTGGTCAACTTGCCTTTCACAGTTCATAGTAGCCCTGAGAGGTTCCAACTGCAGGCTCTTCTGAGACACCCACTCTTTTATCCGCTCCAAGACCCATGGTCTTTCCTCTGTGAGAGCAGAAACCAAAGATCTTAGGTTGTTGGGAGAGCACAGCCATGTTGAACACAGGGGCAAAAGTCAGCCAAATGGAAAGATGAGAGCAACAGAGAGGATATAACACCCCCTCTCCCCAGAAAGCGCAGCTTCAGGAGGGAATTAGAAAAGGAACAGGAATAGCAAACCAAAGGAGACACTTGTTTGTAGAAAAATTAAGACAGTTTTCACCTGGACTTCCGCCCATGTGGCCCAGTGCTTCGCGTACCCACTGGACTGAAGACTTGAGTGGTGAATGTTATATCAGGACCCTTCGGTCATTGAAGCACGGAGCTGGGAGGGCCTCAGCAGGTGACCTGGGTGGAGGACCCAATTCTGGCCTGGGCATGTTAAACCATCCACAGTTAACACAACATGGCAAGCCGGGCAATACAGAAACAGCACACGGCTGTGATCTTATGGGGTCCTGAATCCAAAGTGTCTCATGTGTGGGCCACAAGCCACAAAGAGGCTTAACCCAGATCTTAAGAGGTTTATTTCAGCCAAGGAGGTTAGCCTCTTCACGAATGTCCCTCTGACATTGAAAACTAGAGGCCACCGAAGGCAATGCGAATGACAACGTGAGGAACGTTGACGTTGACGGTGGTGATTACTACTAATGGCAGAAGCATCCGGCACAGCCAGGGGACTTCGGTGACGTCCCCTGTATTCATGCCTGTCTAATTCCCTGAGCTGCTAAACTAGCACATTTAGTGATTAGCTCTCTTGGAAAATCTCAGTTGACTCCCAGGAGGCGGGGGAAGAAATCTGCATGTGCATACATGAGTGGAGGCTGTAGAAATGTGTGTGTGTGTGTGTGTGTGTGTGTGTGAGTGTGAGTGCGTGCGCCGCACCCTTCCCCCGTGCCTGTGTGCGGGCGCACATTTGTGCATGCAAGTGGCGAGCAGCTGAGGGGCTGAGCAGTTTTCCGAGATTCCCCAGAACACGGAAGGCTGGTGGTGCATATGGGAGAACTGACAAGTGTACCAGAAGGTGAGGAAATGGCTGGAAGCAACACTAATGCCACTCCATCTGGAAAGAAGGGGACTGTTTAGTACGTCTGGAAAGCATTATTTCTGCAAATAGCTCAACCTCTATCAACTCTCAGGCAGGGATCCCGATCTGCTGCCAAAATGAGATCTCCCTGACGGCTGTGCGGCGGGAGAGGCCGAGCAAATGAACTAATAGCAGAAAGCAGGAAATCTGTGGCGATGGCAGCCGTGGAGGCGCCACACAGCACGCACCTGCCTCTCTCCAAAAAGACAGCCGGGGTTTCACATCGCATTAGGCCGGGGCTGTGCGTGGGGAGGTTTGAACCTGGTGGGAGTTGGAGCTCGGCAACCATCTCCAACAATTTCTCACGAGTTTTGGGCTCAGAAAAGGCCCAAAGAGAGTTCGCCAAATGGCTTTCCCGCATTGATTTTTATACCCGTGGGTATTTTGAAGGAAATTAAATCCATGTGTTTCCGATTCCGCTGCCATTAGCACGTGCAAACGCTGTGTTGTGAGCGTTACGGGGTGCCGTGGGTGCCTCCGCACACGCCGCTAAACGCCATCAACCCTCTCGCCAGCCACGGAGGTGCGAGGAGCCACGTGCGTTCCGCGCTCGCCATTTCCCTGCCTCTCCAGAAGGCTACATGCTCGTGCCCTTCGCATCCCTTCTGAATGGAGCACAACGCATTTCCCCAAGCCAGTTAGTCATCTATCATTTCCCACGCGAAGGAAGCCCTATTAGCGTGGACGGTGAGAAATTGCCCTTAATAACCATGAGTAGCTGGATGGGATTCCGAGTAACGCAGCCACCAAGGCTGGCTTTGGTCTCCAGGTGTAGGGGCAAAGGAGCCAGCTGAAATGCAGCCCCGGAAAGATCTACAACTCTCAGGAGCAGGAAGCACGAGCTGGTGGTGAGCGATAGTGGGAGACGCTGGTCTGGGAGCCGAAGAGGAGGGGGCTCATCTTGGGCCTGCCATTTGCCACTGGCAGTTGGGGGTCTTTCTGGCCTGACTTTCTGTGGTTAAAAACTGGCCCCTATTTATCCCTAGTCATTACATTCATTGCGTGATTGCATGTATGACATCCTTAGTGTGCCTTGAAGGTGTCCTGCTCGGTGTTGAGGACACAGTGATGGAGAGCATGCTTCTGCCTTTGGAAGAAGGAGAAAGGGGAGGGGTCTGACTTATGGACTATCGACTCTGAGGCAGGCCCAGTGCTCAGGCCTTTATCTGACAATTTCATGTCATATCTTCACAAGACTATTCTAAAGTAGGCATGATTGCCCCATTTTCTAGATGGAGTCACATCAGGAAGATTGGGTAATTTGCTCCAGGACACAAGAGTTGGTAAATGGAAGAGTTGGGATGTAGAGTTTCTTATCTTTGATCCCAAAGCTCATGCTATTTTCCCTCCTCCTTCCTGTTTCTCATAGTTTAATGTGATCAGTGTTTAATATGCATAATATATACATTTTATATATGGACTCACAGGAGAGGGAGAGTCTGTTTTGGGGACATTGGGAGATTTCACTGAGATGATTAGATCTGTGTTGGGTTTTGAAGGATGAGCACGAGTTGACCAAGTGGAGATAGAAGTGGATTGGGGAATGGTAGAGGAAACAGTGTGTGCAAAGATCCAGGGTGAAAGGAGAGGAAGGCGCTTCAGGAAGGGAACATATGTCAGTTCATTTCTGCAGCACTGATTAATGTTTAAGTTGCTGAAAATGCTCCGGTGACATTTCTCCTGTGGGCACATTTCTATCTTGATTGAACGTTTTCTTATCAGGAAGATAAGACCTCCAGTTCTTTTGGACCCCCAGTCGTCTCATTGTTCCATCTACTGGACGGCTTAGGATGTCACCTTTGGGAGCAGATGGAAACTCAAGTGGTGTGGTTGACTTGAACTTTGGTCAACCTTGACCAGCTCTCAATGGTGAAGGGGTTCCCTAAATTTTCCTCCACCCACATTATCATCAAAGA